CCGCCCCTGCTAAGTTCTTAACAATTTTTTTCAATGAGGTAGCATTTTTCTTTTCACAGTGTTTTTTCTATTTAGCCATTTTAATCATGAGTTGAGTTTATATCAACGGAATGAGCGGAGTTCTTTCATGTTTTGGTCTAGTGGTCAAGGTATGTGTCTCTTTTTCAGGTGGCGTGTAGTTTTTCTGCTAGGCTTTTCTATCTAGGCATACCTTTTTATGGATGCTTGCGACGTGCAGCTTCGCCTTCGCTTAAAAAACCTTCTACCTACCTTTTTTTGTGGAAAACTATGCGTTGGTAACATCATGACAAGCTTCGACATAGTTCATTAATAGCATATTTTTTGTCGCGCAATTCATATTGGAAGTCAACTCATGTTTTCTCTTTGGCATAATTCGGACCAGTTTTTCTTAGAATGTTTTTTTTGTAATGGCTTTTCGGAGATCGAGTGACGACGGAAAGGGGTTTAACTTTAAGCAATCTCCGACTTTCTTGGACTTTGCGAGAACAAAACATCACAAGCCATAGAAAATAACATTTCGCTTACGAGAAGGACTATAATAAAAATTATTGATTATGTAACTGAGCGTGCGCAGAATTTTCTTGAAGGAAATAAAATCGGAATTGGGCTTGATTCTCGATTCAAGTTCGCCGATGGGCCTACCCTCTGATGACAAGCTCGACTGTTTGTCCAAAGTTTTGTGTTTCAAATTCTCTTTGATTTTTTTGCCAAAGTGTTTCGATTGAAATACTAAAATTTGCATTGAACTATTAAAATGGGATTTTTCGTGAACTTAGGTTTAATTTCAAAAAGTTTTCAAGTAGTCCTCTGTCGGCTATCTTCTATTAGTAATATGTCACTTAGAGTTTAATCTCTTCAGATGCTTATTAGGCTCGTGCTGGGGTTCCCTTGGTGTTAGGATGACAAAACATAATTATTAGTACTATAATTTTATTGCAAAAACAACCAACTGGTCTTGATGTTGGTGGTATGATTTTTTGTCGTTATACAGTAATCTCAAAATAAGCGAACAAATAGAACAAACATTAATCGTATGACAATTTATCTAATTCATCACAGTTCAACTATACGCCTTCAGCATTTATTCAAAGTTCAAATTTCTGACATTTGTACTAAATGTCACACTACCACACTTTAAGAAACTTTCCCGCTTTTTGTTTTTAGGTATTCCAGTGTCTCCATAGAAAATTCGCATCACTTCATTTTCACGCTTCAGTGTTCAAACTCTCAGATCTTCTCGTTAACATGTTCATCTAATAACAACTGATAAGGACAATTCTACATGCATTAACTGATTCATCGTTTTTTTTCAATGCTTTTCGTTTATCCTCGAACATCGGAGGTTTTGATTCGCCCACGGAATTAGAAATGAATCGCCATATCTATACAAACCAAACCCAAACAAAAATTCGCATATAATTAACTGTTCGTTCTGAGCGTCCATGATTTCGATCAATAATTAATTCGCATTTCCAAAGATATTCGCCTGCTAGGTGTTCCGGTCACTCATCCTTTGAGCAACTACTGAATAAATCTCCAACTTTTTCTCTTTTGGGTTTTTCCAGTGCAGATACAAATTTTTCTCACAGAATTTTGAATTTCCATCGATCAAAAACAAGATCTCTCATGAATAGAAGCTGTTGCCAACTGGTCTCGATGTTGGTGGTATGATTTTGTGTCGTTATACAGTAATCTCAAAATAAGCGAACAAATAGAACAAACATTAATCGTATGACAATTTATCTAATTCATCACAGTTCAACCATACGCCTTCAGCATTTAATCAAAGTTCAAAATCCTGACATTTGTACTAAATGTCACATTATTTTTTTTAAAATTTTTGTCATTAGAACTAAAATTTTATTGCAAAAACAACCAACTGGTCTTGATGTTGGTGGTATTATTTTTTGTCGTTATACAGTAATCTCAAAATAAGCGAACAAATAGAACAAATATTAATCGTATGACAATTTATCTAATTCATCGCAGCTCAACTGTACGCCTTCAAGTAGTAGATGTTGGAGGTTAAGTGGGGGGGGGGGGGGGGGGGGGGGTGCCTGCAGACCAACATGTATTAAGATAGGGAATAGAGCATCCGGTCTGCAGGCTATGTATTAAGATTGGGTATAGAGTCTACAATGTATTAAGATAGGGAATACCGATGGTAAGGTTTTACGTTTTTCTTACCATTATCTTACCATCACACAAACCATAAAACTTTACCATCGGTATTCCCTATCTTAATACATTGTATACTCTATACCCAATCTTAATACATAGCCTGCAGACCGGATGCTCTATTCCCTATCTTAATACATGTGGGTCTGCAGGCACCCCCACCCCCACTTAACCTCCAACATCTACTACTCCTTCAGCATTTATTCAAAATTCAAATTCCTGACATTTGTACTAAATGTCACACAATTTTTTTAAATTTTTTAAATTAGTACTATAATTTTATTGCAAAAACAACCAACTGGTCTTGATGTTGGTGGTATGATTTTTTGTCGTTATACAGTAATCTCAAAATAAGCGAACAAATAAAACAAACATTAATCGTATGACAATTTATGTAATTCATCACAGTTCAACCATACGCCTTCAGCATTTAATCAAAGTTCAAATTCCTGACATTTGTACTAAATGTCACATCCTCCCACTGATACTTCTTGAAAAGTTTAGCCCGGGGTGAATCAGTTCGTATAAATAAATTTTCTAGCTTAAGACTTTTATTTTGCATGAAATTGTCATCAACTAATTCATCGCGTTTACAAAAATAATTCAGTTTTCAGATGTTTTGGAGCAGAACTATTGGGTTCAGTGCAGTTTCGCAGGTGGAGCCGTACATCAGTAGACTAAATCTTAATAGTAATTGTTTTTTTTGTAAATTGGCTTTGAAATTTCTATATGCTTTGAAATTGTCGCACACTGGGTTCCGAGCCTCTTTTTAACAAACTGCATATGAGATTCGAATGACAGTTTATAATCAATTCAAATGACAGTTTGTAATCAATACGAATACGAAGGGTTTTTTGTTCCGACCATTTGAAAATGGGGAGAAAATTTTGTATTCGGGTGTGTTTAATTTTTTGTTGTTCCGACCATTTGAAAATGGGGAGAAAATTTGTATTCGGGTGTGTTTTATTTGTTTTCTTTTTGTTTGCCACGCAAAATCAGCTACCACAAATAATCATCGGAGTGATTTGAATGATATATCATATTAATGCCCTTTCAACGACATTTAAGAAACTTTCCGAGTTTTCTCAACACTCGAAAAATGTTTTGGAAATTTTCAAATGTTCGAATCCGTTCTGAATTTTTGGTTTTTCCTCTAATTTCGAGCGAATGAAACGAGGGAGCAGGCTCACAATAGTGTATTTACACTTGCTAAGCGAGTGTATTAGTACGAATCTTCTTTTTTTTTCAATCTAAGTCGCAAATATTGGTGCTACATTTGGGGCACCTTTACAAATTTTTCATAGTATGTGCTTTGACATTCGAATAGTAATAAGTTAACACGGCTGCTTTTTGGTCGTGTTCTTGCAAATGTTTGCAAAGAGCAGCTTTGCGTTTTTTTTAATAGCTTTACAGCTTAGAATAGCTTAATTCAAAAAAAAGACTCCATAAAAACTAGTTTTGTTTTTCTAGTCATTGTAATACATTTTCCAAATTGCTTATTTTACTATGATTTTTGAATATTCCTAAGCTATAGTTTTTCGTTCTTTTTTATCACACTACAGAAAAAACACTAATTTGAAGAAAAAAATGCATTTTGTAAGAGTATTGTCGCAACAGTTGTGCTACTTGCACAGTAGCCGGCTATCCTTGTCACATACTAGTTTTCAAACAATTGTCACACTATTTTTGAATAAGCGCTGTGAAATCACTCTTTCCAAGTTTTAATAACTTTGTTTTGTGTAAGGTAAGTGCAAAGCCAGCTGCGTTCATTTCAGAAATTTCATTTTAAAAAAATTATAGACTGGCACCCAAGTGCTGTTTATGTCATTCCTAAAGAGAACAAGCTCTGTTTGAAGCCATGTTTTACTTCTGCTACCAGATTGCACAATAAGAGTATACGCATTTTAATTAATCTGTATGCTTTTGTTTTGAATGAATCATTTAATGGGGTCGCCCCAATTACCCTTCAAACCGTAATTGTATATATATTTTTGTCAACTAGTGGGGTCTGGGGTATCAAAAAACTTCTGTCTGTAATTTAGAAGTTAATTACATTTTCCACTTGTGATTAGTACTTATACAATCTTCATGCTTATAACTTTTTTAACTTAATTTTAACTGAGGTTCGTTTTAATTAGTTTTTATCTGATGATTTAATCAAAAGCTTTCCACTTAATTTTTTAATTGTGTTTGCGCGTTGGTGTTGAAGTCAGGCGTGTCTGTCTGGGGATCTGATTGTCAGAATTTATAGAGCTTCAAGATAATGTTGGTTTAAAAATGTTTGAAAAATCATGTTGTTTTTCAGTTTTTGTTTGTTTTAGTTTCGCTCTTCTTGTTATGCGTTTTGCGTTGTATTGTTTGTTAGTATCTTGGTGTAAAATTTCATCTATATATATTTGTGTTTTCTTTTTTCAGCTAAATAGGTTTCGGCCAATATTATATCGGCATAGTGGCCGCATATTGTTTCATTTGACGCGTGAATTAAGTTTGTGTCTGTGTGTGTTTGTTTGTTCGAGGGTGTAGGAGACTTGATAATTTTTTTCTAAAAAATTCTCAGCCAAAAGGGTTTCTGCTAAGGTATTTCCGGCTTTGTTACCGCTTGATAATTTTTCTCTCGATGCTAGTTTCACATTCTATTGCCTTGGCTCGTTTTTGTTTCAAAACTAGCCTTATCGATAATACCATTTTTTTTCGAAAATTTTGATGTTTTTTCGACCTAGCGTCTTGCTTATTTCGTATCGCAAGTGGTGCGAAGCTCAGTTCGCCTCTGTGTTTATATTTTTAAATGTTATTTCAGGTCCAAATAATGCGGCAATATTGTATTTCTGAGCCGTTTTGAAGAGTTCTTTGCGTACATTGTTATTTGCTTGGATCGGATTGGAAAATTTGAGTCATTTAGAGAAATGGAGAGTTGAGAAAGAAGTGATTGTTGGGCTATATTTGATTTCAGTTAGATATTTCTATAGCATTGATAGTTTCTAAATTTTATTTAGTAATCTTTATCGCATGTGGTAGAGTTTGGCTCCGCTTTGGGTGTGTGTGAAATTAAGCAAGGTCTTTCTCATTATTGCATCCCAGTCGAGTTACAAAAAATGTTTTAGCAACACTGAATTTTTTTATGGGCTTCATTGGGTTGGTTCTGGGCTGTTATTGGGTTTTTCTGGGTTGTTGGTAGCTATAAATTGTTGGGGGGAGGGGATGGCTATAATGCGGAAAATTTTTTTGACATGTGAGATTATTACCCAATTCCCAACATATTTGGTTTCAGTAAATTGATGTTTTTGTGATAGGCGGAATGGTGCAAAATGGTTTTCAGTATTTATTGGGATTGTCTACTTTGCTTTGGGCTAATGATTCAAAGAGCAATAACAGGTGTAATATTGCACGTGTAATATTTTATCGAAATCAGATTTGAACCCAAAATGTTTTTCCGTAACCAATAACTGTAACCTAAGTATAATGGAACCTGAAATCAATTATAACAGAAGGCGACGCTCACGCTCTAAGAAACCATTCCGTGGTTTCAGCAAAAATCGCAATCAGTCAAAATCATTATCTACTTCAAGGACGAGAAGTTGCGGTACATCTGCTCTCATAGCTGCCCCTGACTGCTCACTCAGAGATCCACGCTTAGACAAAATGAACACAGTGGCAAAAGGAATCTTTCACTTTTCGCTCGATCCGTAATATTTTATTCTAATTAAGTAATCAATTCAGTAACATATAATAGCCTGGTAATATAATAGATTTTTTGGTCTATGTCCGACGAAGTCAAAAAGCCCAATAGAGGGCTGTAAAAAGCTAAAGAAAAGGCATTTATTCATAAAATTTTACTGATGTATTTATATAGCGTTGGTATGGCCCTATCCAATCTGTACACGGACCGTCGCGTTTTAATTCACCCCTTTTTTTTAAAGAAGGCAATAAAAAAACTTTTTGGCTCTTTTCCAGTCCCCCCTTTGATTTTTCTAAAAGTCAATACATGAAAGTCTATTTTTAAAATGACTTTTCATGCCAGAAGCTGCAGTGAAACGTGTCAGCGTGAACAGGAGAAACACATTTGTCACCGAAATACTCCAAGGGTGGAATATGTTCAAAGTTACAGAGTTGGAATAATAATATTAAAAACTGTAAAAACGGAGGTAACTGGTGAGGTCGAAGCTGTAGCGAAAAGAGGACTGCTTTAGTTCTTTCAATTCAGTTTGTTCTGGTTGGACTACTAACAGCCCTATCTTTTTTCTTGAACGACACCTCGACAAAATGGACGTTGTTTTCTGTGTTTGCCGTTATTGAGAATGGTGTTACATTCATGTTGTATGGACTGGACAAAGGCAATGCAGAGAACCAACGATGGAGGGTCCCAGAAAGGCAGGGTTGTTATGGGTTGCCGAGAACATTCTGGAAAATAATAAACAAATAAAGTTGTTAAATAAACAAGTTTTGCTCCTAGTTAAATCTTAATCTTAAATCGTTTCGTCTAATTAGAAAAGGCCTAAAGAATTTTCCATAGAAAACTTCATGGAGAGTTCTGCTGGAAATCTTATTGCAACCCTGTCCAAAGAGTTCTTCTGCTGTTCAATTTGTGTTTTGGCTTCGCTGGGGCGTTGTCAGCAATGCAGTGTTTCAGACACAAGACATGCAAGGGATCCTTCATTTGGACAACGTTACTGTGCTCTGTAGTCAGTTGTATCCTCTACTGGTGTCTGTATTATCTCATGTTCAACATCATACCCTAGTACGGTGGATGGAAAATTATCTTTCAGCATTCCGTTAAGGCTAAACTGTTTGAAAGTTTTCAAATATTGTTGTTTTGATATGATTTTATGATTTGTATGCAGTAGTCTTTGTCTTTTAGAGCAAGTTTTTGTTTCCACTTGTTTTGTAATTCTTGTTTATTCGTTCAGCAAATTCTGTAAGTTGTTTCCAAAAACAGAATTTTTAGAAACTCAAAGCCTATTATATTAGCAATTGAAAAGCAATGCGCAATTTTATTTGATTCAATGAGGGTAGATAGTACAAAGGCCTCTGCCATTCCGGGTACTAGACTTTTGGCTTTTGTCTGAAACTATGTGAAATAGAGTACATCTGATAACAAACTTTTGAGAAAAAAATCAAGAAGATTTCTTTTCTCACTATTCCTCAAATATTGCATTGCTTGTGTTTTAAGATTGTAAAATGAGCTTTCAAGATTTCATTGTGTAATAGAAAAGATTGAGCAAAGTTTCAACGTTTTCGAAAAAAAATTAAGTGGTTTTGCAAAATGTCTTAAGCTCATGTCGCAAATGGCGCATAAAAGCGTGGAAAGTGGATTTTAGTTTTTGATTTCCTCGCGGAATAAAAACAAAAGCAAATTAACCCAGTTTTCTCTAATGGGTTAGTTTTGTGAAAAAACTGGCAATCATAAATATTCTGGAAATTCAAAGAGCTTAAACGTGATTTTTTTTGTCCGAAACTTGCAAGTTGAATAATGTTTGAAAAAAGTCAATTTATTTTTATTCGGTTTCCTTGGGTTCATTGACACTTCTGTTGGCTATTTCTATTGGCTATGTGCTCATTCTGAAACTGAAGTTTTTAAAACAACAACTTCATCATTATGGGGAACAAATTTCTCAGAAAACTCTCCATTTTTGTTGATTTCGGCTTTTGGTAGAGCTAATAGTACGAATGGGTTTTTGTTTTGTCTAAAATCTCGCATCTTTGAATGTCTTTTTATATAAAAACTATGAGTAATTCATTGCGGAACAAGTCATTGCTTTGTTGAGCAACGTTTTTGAAACATATTTGAAAACTTGTCATCGATCAAAGCTTCAATATTATCTGTAACCCAGTTAGAGTTGCATGATATCACTTCAATCTTAAAAATAGGGCTCTTTTTTTTGCAAAAAGCTTCTAAAAATTGACATTTTTAGAACGGATTCAGCTTGCTGATATCATCCAATATTTCCTCGAAAAAATTATTTGTCAGTTTTTTCTTTTCGCTCGACATTCAATTTTACTTTATTTGACATTCTTTTGACACGGTTTGTACAAGCAGCATTTGACGAATCTACAGTTTTTGCAATGTTGTACGGCTTCATGCTCATAGCACCATTGTACGATTATCGTTCTTCTGAAAAAATTCAATTGCTTTCCACAAAGTTACTTTTTATAAAAGGTGCGAGCAAATTTTTACAGAAAACCGGCTCCACTTTCTCTACAAATCTATCAAGAAGACCTGTTTATCTCTGACTTTGTTAATTTTTCTTTATATCTTTTAGGAAGCAACTCAAGTCAATCTCGACCTCTACCTCCAATTTATCGTTCAAAATTGTCCCTGTCAACAGCTGAAGTATGTTCAATTCCAAGTTCTTTTTGCGGAGCTTGATTATTTAAATTTTTCCGACCAATGCTGGAATGGTAATAACTGTTGTGTACTAGTTGTCAGTGAGAGATGTTGAAAATCATTGTGTCTTCTAAAAACTCTTTTGTTGTAATTACCTTTGCGATTTGCAAGAGTACTGCAACTGGGTACTATATGTTTTTCACGTAAATAACTAAGTTCACAGGATGACTGCAATAGTTCTTGGTAGGTAAATTAAGCCATAATTGTCTTTCGCCATCCAATTTTTTCGTGAGTAGTGTACCTGATGCAACTGACGTTGCAAAAATTTCCTGATGTAACTGGCATCGAGTTTTTGTCAGTCTGTTTCGGCTTTTTAAGCTGAATTGCGAATGGTAAGAATGGGCTCCTGTTTTGGCTAGCTTTTGCATTTTAAAATGTCTGTTCCTAAACTATAAACACTTCATTGTGGAACAAGTCATTGCATTGGTGAGTTGTGTTTTTGAAACAAATTTGAAACTTATCTGCCAACTCATCGGTCAAAGCTTCAACAGTAGTCAGATTGCAATAAGAGCCGCATGATCGTTCTTCAATTTGTAAGATAACGCGTTTTTTCAAAGGAATCGTCTAACTTTGACAATATTTGGAAATTTTCAGCCCGCTGATATAATCTATTATCTCACCGAAAAGGTATTTGGGATCTCTGATAACTGAGGTGGGGTACCTCCAGCAAATTGCTGGCATTTAGTTGCTTCTGGTTTTAACTGTTCTTTGTTCAAGATCTATATCAATCTTATCGATCCGAAATAATCAGTTTGGTTTGGAGCTTCGAGACTGTTATTGGAGCTTCGAGACTGTTAAGATAGGTCCAAGCACAAATTTTCTAAGTGATAAAAATTCAATGTTTCTGTAGATCAAGTTAAATAAATTTTCATTTACACCAGTAAATGACTGCATGTCAATATGCGTGGTTTAAAGCAGGACAAAAACATTGAAACGTAGATAAAAGAGATATGCGTTTTGGCAAAATTAAAACACCTTTTAATTTATCAGCAGATGTAGCTGTAATTATAAAAACACTCCGAAAAGGTAACAAAAATAGGGTAACAAAAGCATCACAGTTCGAAGCCCACATTAGAAGTAAACCCAACAGACGTGTATCAAACATAGCTACCAAACAACTTAGTTGGAAAATTTACCAAACAACTTAGTTGGAAAAATGCAAAACACATGTTTAGAGTGAAAACTCCTGATCCACCGCCACTGCATGCGAAGGTTATGCGCGACCTTCAGAGATAGTCAGACGATGAAGTCGTGATCAAACGAATGCCAGAGCCGAAGAACCTAGACTCATCGGTGAACCTAGAACATCAAATTCGACAACCTAAACGCAACAGAGAACAAGTCAGAACTAGACAGGCTTTAGCTGAAGATTGGAAATCGTTAATTTTTTTAAAATAATTTTTGAAGGGGTACAAAGGCAGGTAAAACAAAACTTAAGAAAACGTATCGAACAAAAAGCAGTAAAAATAGTGCGCGTCGCCGCGAATGCAAAAGATCTGAAAACATTCGATCAAAAATATAATACAACGGGTGGAAAAACTCTAAACGGGTGGGAAACTTTTCTTCTCGAAAAGAACAACAGGGGTTACAGGAAAGCCCGAAGAAACGGACGGCGAAAGCACCAACTGGAAAATAAACAGAAGGGAAGCCAGCGCCAAAGACACCAGCAAGAGGGATTCAATTCCGCCCGGAAGCCGCAATCGACAAAGCTTTACACACAGGTCTGAGCAGAGTCAGCCATCAATGTCGTCCAGCAATGATGGTCCTCGCCGTCCGAGAACACGGCACCATCTCCGAAAGGGGTCGATCCAAAAAATACATCACCGCAGATCCCAAATATATCGATAGAAGCGACCACAATATCACTAAGAAAGAGGCCCTCGCGTGAGATCTCAGAAACCCGGTTCCGATCCGTTCGATAAAGACCAAGGAAGAAAAGCAGAAGACAATTGAGGTAGCGTCACCAGTGAAAACAGGAGAGAAACGATTCGAAACATGGAAAGCCTTATTTACGAAATGGAATTCAAAGAGAAATCGCCTGAATTCCAGGCTTGCGTGAAGTTCCTTGAGGCAATTATTTTAAATAGTAGAAAAGTTGACGTAGTCGATCTGATGTCGCCTGTTAACAGTTCAAATTAAGATGTCTGGTAAGTAATCGACATAAGCTAAGCACAAATTGATGAGACGAACGCGGGTACATGGAAGAAATAGGTAAAAGGTGTTAAGGCAACTGAAGAGCTCGAGAAAAACCAAGAAGAAAAAGATGACACAAAGCCTGAGAAGGGGACTTTAAATTTAATATTTAGTTTGAAAGGGGAATGTCATCCGGCGAATAATGGCCAATTTCTGATGTATAGATTTTTATGATACACTTAGTACGGATCCTAAGTCCATGTTGGTTGTGTTTTATTGTTGAAAGCGATGGCTTTCAGATCAAGAGAATTAATATTTACCAACCAGTTGTTTCTACGTTCACCTTAAGTTATTCGGTTATCAATCCGTTCGGATTATAGAGCATAACTTACTTATACAGTACCCTATGACAAGGTGATAGAAACAAGTTTCTAATATGCGTGAATTTTTTTTTGATTGTGTAATTTATCATTTCTAATGGTTTTTTATCAAATTTTTTTGGCTAAATATTTGTCGGCTATGTAATTTTTGTTTGGATTCAATTTTGACTATCAATTTTGACTATCAGATGAAAGTTTTGATATATCTTATTTTCTCGACCTTTTAATCAATAATTGACTTGGCTGCTTCCGTCGCAATGCATGTCTGCAAATTAGTCTTACTATGTTTTTTTTTGTATTGTAAGTGGCAAGAAGCTCTCCTTCGACTTTGTGTTCAATTCAGTTTTGAGCATTTCAAAAGGATACTTTCGTGGTGATTCGTTTATTGTTTAGGTTACAGGGTCGACCCCTTTCGGGGATGACCCTGCAACATGAAAAACAGGAAAAAGATGTTAAGGCAACTGAAGAGCTCGAGAAAAACTCCGGTTGTCTTAGAACTCCGTTTGTATTTTAAATAAAATTGAATTATTCTCGTATTTTTTAAATCGTGATCTCTAATTTATTCACTAATTTGACCATATAAGTAAATGCTTTTGGTCATTCACAATGACAGATTGAGAAGTGCGTAAATTTAATTGTTAATAATTTCTGTTTGAGATACCTTGGTCGTTTTCAGACTTATCATGTGATACAAATTTTGTTAATGAAAGTTCGGATAAATTAGAAACTATCCCAATCGTCCTCGACTATCACACTTCATATCAACGAAATTGTCATCATGAATCGGTGCCAGCCGTTATCTGTCCTAGTCTATCAACTGATTGTTTTGGCAGGTGTAGTAAGTCTATGCATTGCTTTCGATGACGTCTTGAAGAAAGTGGTATGTTTCTTCGTATTCATGTCTATCGAGACCTCGGTCACCTTTGCTGTTTTCGCGCTCGATAAGCGTCGAGCTGAGAACGATGACTGGCGAATCCCAGAGAGTACGCTTCACTTGTTGACAGCTTTCTTCGGAATAATTGGTGCTCTGATGGCCATGTTTGGATGTCATCATAAGACTAGCAAGCCGGAGTTCTATAGAATCACGATCTTCCTCGCTTTTCTCAATGTTGTACTATACGCAGCACTTGGTTTCATCATATTCAAAGTTGCGTGAAGCACTTATCGCAGCCACTTCTTCTGAATTGAAGAGGTTCTCAATCTGTTCAGAAGATTCATA